CACGAATGTCTGGTAGCATGCGAGGGTGATGCGCCGGATGAACACTTGCCTGAGATTTTGGCGTCCCCATGGGTGAGTCTTGACCGGGCGCAAATAAACTCGAGTTCCCTGGCCCCTTCTCCTCATCAGCATTATTCGCCGTCTCCTCCAACTCATTGTGCTTGTCGGTGGCGCTGGATCCAATGGGTCGGGCCGACAGGCTTGTCGGGCCATAGAACAACAACTGCCAGAGGAGGAGGACTCGCCAGCTCTGGCCTATTCCTTGCATGAGGGGGCTTGACTGGAGCAAGGATCGATAGGGCGCTTCGTCCACATCCGGCAGCCTTTTGGGTCGGCGAAAGGGACTTTGAGATGGCAGCTGCTTAAGGCGGCTTCTGCACAAGCTGGTGTTTAGAAAAAGGCAACTTGATGAAAATCATGAAAGACTACTCAATTTGAATTTAAGTAGTATACTAAAGAGTAATGTAGCTTTGTGGAGCAAACTGGCGTGTTGATGGCTGGATAGACGTGATTTGGTCGCGTTTTCACATTTTTGTCGTGTCGTCAGAGTGACCTCAGATGAAATCACATTGTCCAGACTCCACTACCAGAGTGGACATGAGGCTTTACAGCAGCTGACCATGGGCTAGTTGCCTTCGCAGACGTTGCACCGACAGCGTCAGCTCAACTTTGCCGGCCCCAACACTTGGCCCCTTGACGCGCTGAAGTTTGGCTCTTAGATTCGCCGGAGAAACGTCTGAGCGTGCTCCAAGTTCGTGGCCCGACGCTGAAAATTATCCCATCTCGGACAGAGGAGTCTGGACACAGTGTGCGTTCTCTATGAAAGTGGTCGATCTAATCAGAAGACGAGTATTGCGTAATCTGGCTTACACGCGTACAGTGACATACGCACATGCATTCAAGTGTTGGTACCCTGATGAATATGAAAAAGAACTAACCAAATCATTCCAATCCATCTATACATATTTTTTTAATTTCTAGATATGAGTATATTTTGCATGTAGAATAGAGCCGGATAGCTTTCATGTAGAACAACAGCTCCGCCTGTGTTTACTCGTAATTAGGGAGAATATTTTGTTGACTTTGTCAGCCTTCACCTCGTGGGAAAACCAAACACAGCGGCCTAGCAACGTGGACCAGCCGTCGACTTCTGGTCGGATCGACTTAAGATTTTTTTATCTTGGACATTTACACAAAATAAAAGTTTTTAAGATTCATCAAAGCCAAGTTACTCTTTGAAACAAGGTGTATTCACCCAGGATAACTCTGACAAAACGATCGTTTCGAAAACTACGGCAAACCACTTGTATGCAGCGAAAGGACACAACGACCAAAATAGCGGTCACACCATATTGACCTTTATACCTACAGTTAGACATCTAGGAACAGAACTATGTTTCATTTTCAGGCCAATACAAGACTCTGCCTAAAATCCCGTTTAGTGAAAGAAGATACATATATACCGCGTAAATAATGAAGTTTTCCTTCAATTTACCAGTTTTAAAAGTGGTCTGGTCTTATTTTCGCAACTGCGTCGTCTTGACATAGAGATCTTGACCGAATTCCTCTGCTAGTCGTAATAATGAAAATGTCTAGTGCCGTAAATCAGACTTAATAGATTCCCAGACACTTCGAGGGGAGGTACCAAGTCAACGGCATGAGGCTGCAAATTATCACGACCATTTGGACAGAGGACTGGGGGCAGTGTGTTTATCACGTTCGCTCTGATAACACGATCAAATTACAAAAGCGAGGTAAACTCAATGCTATATAACAAAAGAAAACCGCTACCATCTTCGGCTAAATAAGCGGTCTTACCTCGTTTTGGCAATTAAACCGTGCTGTCGTGGTGATCTAGTTGGACTCACCTTAACCAAAGTCCTCTGTTATAGTAGTTTTTATAATTCCCATCATTTGACCATGGACTTGGTACATTACAGGACGTCTTGCCGGAATCTTCAGTGATTCTTGATATTTTCAACACGAAGTTACAATTAGTTAGACAACCGTTCGGCAGAATGATGGTCAAAGAATTGACTTCACTTATCTATTCGACGAGAGAATGTGCAGAGAATGGCAAGATTCACCGAGGAATTATGAAGACTACCATAGCAGATGACCTCGGACAAAGTGCGTTCAAATAGGTCGACCTGGCAGAATGACCAAATTTCGAAAACGAAGTCAGACCACTTCTATACATCGAAAGGGGACAGCGACCAAAATGGAGGCCACATCTTGGTCTCCATATCAACGTAAGGATAGGTAGTTGAATTTTCACAGCCATATGAGTAGGCCTCGTGCTTATGCACGATTTACCCTTACTAGCGAAACGTGAATCTAAGTAATGCTGCTGACTATAATAGCAAATGTAAGTTGCCTTCATTCACAATCTTACTAAAAATATGACTTATGACAGGTCCGACTAGCTGTAAAGTCCAATGGTAATATGGTGTTATTATACACTGTACTACCCGAATCCCTTAAAGGATGCGGATGAGACCAATTTTGGAGACGTCGAAACTGCAGTCCGACACGATTCAGTCCAATTGAGCCTGAATGAGAATATCTCTTTTGGAGGTATGCCTCAGTAATGCTCAACAGCCTCCCGAAGATCGACTTGTGGTACGGTGGAAAAAGTTAGGCATCCGTGCTCAAGGCCAGCCCCCCTAGCACACGCTTAAGACTGTTACAAAGGCAAATTTTGTCTCAGGTTGGATTGGTGACCAATACAGCCCCGAAAGGCAACTGACCTTCACTTCCGAGGGCAGAACAAAACCTTGGTGCAAGCTGGAATTGGTGCTTGTCCAAGGGGAGAATGGCGTGAAGAAATACAGCTTTTTGCAGGGAGGAACGACTGGAAGAGTGTCTGGGCTTTCCAGAGGGGATCGGTTATCGTGGGGCCTAACTATGAGGACGTAGAGAAGGATGTTGTCTTGAGGTCAAGTTCTGTCTGAGCATACTCTCATCAAACCTTGTTAGGGGTACTTTCATTTCGTATGAAAGTGAATGAAGAAGAGATTCGTTGGTCAATCTCACCAGATGAGGACGGATGAATCTCGTTGTACTGCAGCCGTTTGGCTTTTATACGATATGTTGACTCAGTCCCCCTAACAATATTATCTCAAGAGATTAATCGAAACCCAGTTTTATCTTCGTATCTCATCAAGCAGTTTGTAGAACCAGGTTTTAGGTCGAGGGAGTCTGGCAGGTTCGAGAGTCCGCATGCAAGCTAAGGGTGCGTAGTTTATGTAGTTTCAATGTTCACAAAACGAGGCAGGATGGGTGCGGTGGTAGAGTTGACTACTGCCTTGAAAGGGGACAGCTCAAAGGAAAAAGTACATAAACGGCGAAAAAATGCATGCAACTGTGTAAACACTACATGCAACCGCTTAGTGTCGAAGACAGCAGTTCATTTGTAATAGTGTGAAGATATGCAATGCACACGCCCAAGAGATTTTGGCTACTCAATGCTTGATTTTGGTCATTAGATGTTTCCCCCTCTTGGGGCACCAATTGCAACGGTCCAGTTCATGTGCTGTCTCAATTGTATCAGGAATAACATTAGACCTGCCTCATCCTAAAACACAGACACTGCAGCTAAGCAGTCTGCACAACTCGTTGAGGCGCGGCCACTTGGCCAGAGGAAGTCTCAACAAAAGGCCACACCAGCAATTAAAAGATGAAGTCACATTGTGCTCAGAGCCAGACCAAGATAAAAAATAAAGACCTTTTGTGATTTTCGTAATGCTGACAATCTAGTGTAGTGAGTTTTATTAGGCTAATCCAGGACAGAATGATGCTCCACTCGACACTTATAAACTAATAAAAGCATTTCGACGCTTCATTAAGGTCAAACGTCCGTCGAAGTCAATTTCGCCTGTCAGAAACATTGTCCACATAGATGCTGCAATATGGAAGCAATAACTATTACTGCAACTGCAGAAGCAAATGCTACTTAAGTATAACTGACGTTCATCTTAGAGCTCGTTTAGTCCAGTGTGAGTCTAGCCTTCTTTTCCGGTGAGAACATTCATGGTCTTGCTAAAATAACTATAGACTCCATCAAATAAGTCTCAGATCGGAGATCCACGTCATTCTTAGTATTATCGTGGAGTGAAGAAAGCCAAAATTAAACACGGAAGGGGACCTAGCAGCGTCTAAAAATAACTTAGGAGTGAAGATGTTAGGCTGAAATGAACGATGATATAAAAGTAGAAACAGTAAATCTAAGCACGACGCATTAACTAGTTAAATAAATATATCTCGTAAGGTAAGCACGAAAAAGAAGCACAAACACCCTGGGTAGGGGTAACGTAGTACAGACAACTGTTGGGCTTGTGGGAATGAGAACGAAATTAGGAATATTCGTTTAATATGCAAGTTCAGGATCTAAAAGGAGAGATGGAGCAGATGTGAAGCCCATACAAAAAAACTGAGGCATGGGCGATTGAAAGCAAGCAAAATTTAGACTTAGATAATTGCTGATGAATTTAGTTCACAACTTTAAGGAATGAAATTAACGACTTTTGAGAATGATCGCTCCAGTGACAAAAGTAAGGCAATATATCCATCGAATAAAGACCGAGGCTGGACAAAACGCCTACCATTCAGATTTGTATTCGCACTCTACCTCTCCTATAAGTAGATCTAAATTAGAACAATACTAATCAAGGGCATGAAGGAAATTGCACTGTGAAGGAGATTAAAATCTTTCATTGGACGTAATTTGTGGGAAGAGTTGCCTCAGTCTAATCATGCTGAAACGACAGTTGACAGCCAAAACGACTGGGCTATGAGCACTAAGTACAACGCGGACGCGAAGCAAACGATTCACAAGAAATAGGGTACTCAGGTGACAAATAGGGGTAATCATCGCTGTGGAATTTATTTCCGATTAACAATAATGTTTGCTTCACAGGCCTTGGGAAGAATAGGGCGAAGAATCTGAGCTTCAATAAACGGCTGCGACCAGTTCGGTAATCGGAGCCCGTAGTTGAAAATCCAGTTCCGAAAGTCTTTAGTATAAGTGCCAGACTATGAAAATGCGACTAATATAATCTTAGATCCGGATAGCACTGAGATAAATCGAAGTTCCCAAATTCTTTACTAACATATTTACGGTCTATTTTCCTTCCAAGCGAATTATCTAT